CAATGAGATGAAGGGAATTCTGTTTATAAACGTAAATTTTATCACAAAAGTATGACAATGTTCCCACTTAACAAAATAATTGTCATTAAAATTCTAATATTCGTTCAGCTTTTCAACCCGTAAATAACAGTTTATTCCATAATTCATCATTTTCCAATCGCTTTCCACTGAAAAATTTCTTAACGTTTGGGAAAGTTAGAAATCTGTTGGTGCTAGATCAGGGTTGTATGGCGCATTTTCGAGTCAATGGATTAGTTCAGAATGCCGTGCCATACAGTCCCAACAAAGCACCAATCGACATTTTTTCTTTATTTTATCTATAACAAAAAAGTTTAAACATTTCTTAGCGAAAGGCGATTGGAATGATGCATGAACCTTTTAGCATTAGATCCTTGGAAGGTAATAGAATAATAATACAAGCCCGAGTTAGGAGACTTCAATTGTATTATCTTAAGAGAAATAACTGAAACTTGGCACCACTGCATGGAGGACTTATCCACTGGTGTTTAAATAATTTGAGTATTTTGGAGGACCTAATGCCGCTTTGTTATCTGGACGTTATTTCGGTAGAGGACACATCATACGGTTTTTGAAAGGGAGACCTACATAGCGGACTTTGTATGTAAATCCGAAATGTTAATGTACAGTTTTTTTAACTGATCTTGGATCAATGTGTCTTGGTGTCGGATATTCACGAATTAAATTTTATATATATTCAGTATTTCTGGTAGGTGACTTATTGCTGGCTTATGAAAGGAGGACCTATCCACGTGGAGATGTAAATATATATACATATATATAACGTGAGCAGTAGTCATTGCCATTGCCAACAACCAGTTGGGTAAAAAATACAATTATTTGTTATTGGGAAATTGGCAAACTTTTTAGGCTTTAGTAAACTCTTTTAACGGTTATCTCGAGCTTTCGGCATTCTCTATGGAGCCATCTTCAGGAGTCGTCGTTGAGGTTGCAGCCAAATGGTGTTTCAAAACGAACGCGTGGATGAGAGCACTTGTTACAAATATAAAACCAAACGGACGGACACATTTTGTTTATTGATAACGACGGAAACCATCGTTAGGTGTTAACATTATATATCACTACACACGAACACATTAAAGATTAACGAAAAGCAATTTTGGGGACAAAATCGGAACGTCCCTTCTAACCTCCTACATCTGCTGTTTTTATAAAACACAGATATATAAATGTTTAGTTTCGTTATTTCATATTTATTTAGAAATTATGTAACATTTAACATATATTCAAGTATTGACATAATTGTTACATCAGCCATTTATTCCATCCTATTCAACTGGCCAAAAAATAAGACTACAGAATTGATGAGATAAAAACTTACGAACGATTCGGCTACCTTGGTAGTCTTCTTCAAAGTACTAAGTATGAAAAAATCAGTCTAAAGTACTGAAGGAATTTCTTCTGTAAACATTTTTTTCCAGAAGATATTCCTTCTATATTTTATAAATGGAGGTCTTTTTAAGAAAAAAGGTATCCGAAACGTTAGTTTACTTTTCCCATCAATTCTGTTGAATTATTTATTGACCACTTGAATGAAATAGAATCAGCAGACAATCACAGGTTTATTATCGGGAACTTTATTAACAACAATTTACTTAAAAACTTGTATACAAACTGTGTCATAAATTTAATCAATAAAAATAACTTTTGTGATTGCATATACAGACTTCGAAGTTGAGTCATTTATTTTAACAGTGAGTAGATCTGATCAAAAGAAATGTTTTTTTCCTTTACCATTTTTCTGGTAAAATTAAAGTAACAAAGTTATAGCCCTTTGGAAGTTTGAGTACCGCCCTGTCTCAATAATAATATTATGTGCTGGTGTTTGGCGACAACGGATATAATCCGCCGTATCGGTTCATCGCATCGGAAACAAAAAAGCGAAAGAATTTAGAACGATGTTTTTACAATTATTTTATTCATTTGTATACAGTCAGTGTCCGTGAATAGTAGTGTCTGTTGCGTGGCTCAAACGAAATAAAAAATGGCACATGTTTATGCGGATCGGTTTCCCAATCGAGTGCAACCAACCCCTCGTGCCTTTGTTAATGTAGTAAAACGGGCTCGTGAATCAGGTGACTTAAGACCTCAAAGGAGAGGGCATGCCGGTGCTCGAAGACCTCACGATCAAATACAGGTCCGCACTGAAATACTTGTTGGGAGGATGCTTTATAAAACAAGGTAAATTTTTTTTTTATTTTTTTTTTATTTTTACACACATATTTTGGTTTATCTTCCTTCTACAATCATTATCTGAAAATTAATGACTCAACTTCAAAGTCACCCTGTATATGCTGCATGTTATATATTAATTTGTGTATAATAAAGGTAGAGCTACCAAGATTCACATTAGTAACTTAGATGAGTGGAAATTTATTGCACAGCAGTCTCAAACAAGATAACATAAAGGAAATGATGTTAGAAGACACAATCCGAAATTTAGACAATTCATGTTTTGGTACCAGTCAAATAAAAAAGTTCTGAATACATAAATATATATTGCAATAAATCTATGAATACAGAAAGCAGTATCATTAATTATACAACTTAATCAAGCTGCCCGACTCATCTTTATTCTCTGGTTACTCAGTCAGAACCCATCACTGATGGCATTTTCCACATTGTACTTATCGGTATGAGTATCCTGATAATATGGTATCTGGAAACAATCAGAACAAAATCTCCTCACGATCAAATACAGGTCCGCACTGAAATACTTGTTGGGAGGATACTTTATAAAACAAGGTAAATTTCTTTTTTTTAATGACTCAACTTCAAAGTCACCCTATATATATATAAAAATTTAAAAAAAAAAATTACCTTGTTTTATAAAGTATCCTCCCGACAAGTATTTCAGTGCGGACCTGTATTTGATCGCGAGGTCTTGGAGCACCGGCATGCCGTCTTAAGTCACCTGATTCACGAGCCCGTTGTACTACATTAACAAAGGCACGAGGGGTTGGTTGCACTCGATTGGGAAACCGATCCGCATAAACATGTGCCATTTTTTATTTCGTTTGAGCCACGCAACAGACACTACTATTCACTGACGCGTTACCGACTGTACACTGACTGTATACAACACAACTGAATAAAATAATTGTAAAAACATCGTTCCAAATTCTTTCGCTTTTTTGTTTCCGATGCGATGAACCGATGGCGGATTATATCCGTTGTTGCCAAACACGAGTACATAATATTATCATTGAGACAGGGCGGTACTCAAGCTTCCAAAGCGCTATAACTTTGTTACTTTAATTTTACCAGAAAAATGGTAAAGGAAAAAACATTTCTTTTGTACAGATCTACTCACTGTCAAAATAAATGACTCAACTTCGAAGTCACCTTGTATATATATATATATATATATGTATATATATATATATATATATATATATATATATATATATATATATATTATATATCTGTACCCCAAAGCCATACTAGGTTAAATCCAAATAAGTAGTTTTGAGATAATTGTGATTGGAATATTTATCATGTATTGTTGTTGCGAGTTAATTTTTAAATTCGTAACTTCCTTATTATTACAAGTAGGTTGACGCTGTAAGTGGCAAACAGAAATTTAAAATGTTATCACAAACTTAACATATATCCTATTCGCTTTGACGTCTCATCAGCAAGTGACATTTTTCTGTTAGTCTGCGACGTTGGCAATAAGTTTAAATAAATCTAGTCAAACTTGTTTGACTCTGTCTACCTGGCATTGAAGAATCCCTCATTTTCATGTTTTTTGCGGATATGGGGAATTTTGAAATACAGTAGACTCTCAACTATCCGGCCTAAGGTGGCGGGCAGCTAGTCCGGATAACGAGAAGGCCGGATAAGGCGAATCAATGTCCAGGCATGCGCAATTTCATTACGCAAATGTATTTTAACTCAGAACTTGCATTTGTATTTATTTAGGTATGAAAATATGTATAAATATATATAGTTCAGTACATAATATATATATATATATATATATATATTGTGTTACTTTTTAAAAAAGTCTTCTATTTTTGCCTGCATCGTATAAATTATGTTTAGCGGCTCTGCGTCCTAGGCGAACCGGATAATCCGTAGTCCGGATAGCGGCGAGCCGGATAGTTGAGAATTTACTGTACCTATTACTATATAATCAGCTGTCATTCTACCGTAACGAATATTCGTGAAAACGGCTATATAAAACGTATTTTAGGCATGGACTTAACCTAGGAAGGTACAGATATGAAATCAATTTACATACCTAGCAAGGCTTTCATGCAGTTAAGGCGTCCAAGGCAAAAGTTGCTTCTATTACCAACTAAAGACAAATTCCCAATTCATCGGTGAACATGGCTGTTCTCAAAGTATTTTCCGTATTTGCCTTCTATATATTTGATGTAGTTCACCTGAAAGTTGTTAGTAAACTATGTGAGGTTTACACAGTATTACCCACATTCTGCAAACATCTAGAATCATTGAGTAAGCAAAGGTTAGAGTTCAGGATGCTTCGTTACAGCATATAACATTATTATTATAGAGACAACAAACGCTACTATTATTATACTGTCTAACTGTTACTCAAGTAAACTATTAATTTCAAATATTCCTACCTGGACGTATAATGATGTAAATATATTCTTTACCACTTTTTTACACCTGAAACTACGTACAACTCACGGATATATCTTTTGCGCCAAATGACCACGCGGAAGAGGACGGTCACGAATTTTAGGTTAGAAGGAGTTTCCACAAATCAGGAACACAAAACATCAGCAACTACCTAAATCATTAGCAAAAAATTCCTTATCTCTGTTACTATATGTTCAAATTTCACCTTACGTTCAATAAACTATCAAAGGCTCCTGCAAAAAAAAATTAAGCGGTTATAAATACTCCATTTTGACCACGTGAGAAGAATGGAAAATACTTCAGTACCATTTTAGTTTCAACTATTGATGTGAAATGAAACTACTCCATAAAAATAAATAATTTATTAACAACAAAAATAAATTATATCACAAAGTGTACAATACTGTAAAGTGCTACCATAAGGAGAGAAGCAGCCATTTGGATCCCAGCTGCCGATTTCAGAATGACAGACTCGTGAGCCTCTAGCTTGATTGTGTCCAGAATATCACTGAAACAAAGAAATTAGTTCACTTTTTGTTCTTTATTCGTCTATTCATTACGGACCACCTTATTTTAATATCGATTTTTTTTAAATGGATTTATCTCGCAAATAAATAAGTAAATAACAAGGCTGCTAGTTGTAGTTAATCGATTTATGTAAATTGAATAGCCTCTAATAAGCTCCTATCACGAACGAGGATTGCAAACTCCAACAGGGGTCTTACAAAGATTCTGTAGAGAAAGGAGGAGGTATTAACAGTGCAACCGGTGAAGGATCTTCCCATCATATACAGCAGCCACTTGGCCTTTGAAGTGATATTCTGGATATGTTCCGAACAGATCTGTGTGGCTTGTAAGAGCCTGGATGCTATGATCGCCAATCTTGTATTTGTACTTAGGATTATATTTGCCTAGGTGGAGAACGTGACATTGCGAGAAATTCAGAGGGAGAGGCCAAAGTTCCGATCACTTTGCGATCTGTTTGAGGTCTTCTTGAAGTAGAGCGAGGTTTGTGGTCGTATTGTGGAGTTTAGTGACATCTACATAAGGTGGAATACATTAAAGACAGTTGCATGCATACAAAAAACGAATACCGGCACTAGTACAGATCATTGCGGTGCTCCACTGCTAACAGAATGACTGGAGCAGTAGCTCTCTCCAAGATGGACGGAGAATATTCTTCCTGACAAGAAGGCTGCAATCCACAAAAGCAAATTATCCTTGATTTCAAAATGTTCGAGCTTATGTAGGACCCTTTTATGTGGAACCCAATCGAAGGCTCTGGAGAAGTCGAGATAGATCTTCCAGAAATGAAACCATATTGGTTGCTTGGTAGCAAGTTGTTCTTGAATGCGAACGCCATCAGTTCTTGGATGATCAACTATATTTTTGCAGCAATAGGCATGGGACCGAGACGACGGTAGCTTTTGCAGATGTTTTTTCTCATTTTCTGTATATAGGTGTGACAAATGCATTACGCCAACGGGAAGGAAAGGTGCGACTTCTAACCGAGGAATTGAACATAATGTATGGTATGCGACAGCTGAAGCACAATATTTCAGAATAGCAGAGCTAATTCCATCTCTTCAAGGAAATGAGGAAGTTTTTAACTCAATAAGGTGTCTCTTAATGTCCTGAGTTCAAAATCTACATAACAGATGGCCGTCGGGCATCTACGACTGCTGGGTAAGGGCGGAACAGTGACACCTGGTTCATTAACGAAGTCTTCGCTAAAGGCAGCAGCAAAGTGATTGGCAGATTCAATGGCATTAGAATGTAGTTAGCCATCGGCGAATTTGTGGGGATGAAACTTTGGCAAGCTTTTTTTAAATAAAAAGCCAAAAAAGCACTAGGTAATGATTTTATTCTGTCCAGCCTTTTATCTTTTGTAAAACATCTACAATTGTGAAAAACATACATATTTTATTATGATCTCCATCGACGCAACGTAGCCTGTTTACATCGTGGCTATGCATCATATAGATACATGTGCAAAAACGAGCCTTTTTTAGATGTTCATAAAATGAACAAACACATTTAAAAATAATTGTCCCGATTGGAAATATTTAACCGATAGGTTTTCAAGTAAAAGCGTGTTACGCTTTGACAGACAAGGATGGAAAAAGGTGTAAAACGCTTTTATTTGAAAACTTTGGGTGAAGGAGCTTCATAATCATTTCAATATCTGCAACCCGAAAAATAATTTCTAAATTTTTATTTCATTTTATGAACGTATTTTTTATCTTATCTATTGTACATTTAGTCGCTTATAACTTAACAACCAATCATCAAAATGCTATATCAAGCTTCTTCTCTTGGAAAGGTATATCCAAATGTGTAATAAAATATCAAACATTCCGTTTAAACATTGAAGCGATTCAATATACAAAATCGCTCAGCTTTGACAGCTGCCCAATTCCCCATTTTAGAAGATAGTGATTTTATATTCTTTGGTTATAAAGTACTTGTATGGATCATTAAAATAAGGTATCACACGTCCTGAATTCCAGCTTCTTATTTTGACTGCTTCAAAAAATAAGTTTCTGAAAAGCACTGTTATTAATAAACCTCATTTTAGAACAAATAACTGTTTTTATTTTTCCTCAAATTTGCTGACCAATATCTCCAAAACGTTGCTACTTAACAACATATAATTTCTGACATTATCTGTGCCTTTAACAATCCTAATAAGAAAAACAAGTCTCATCGTAAGCAATGAGAATCACCCCTGGCCCTTATCAAGGTTTAGAGAAATTATTCTGTTCGGGATTTCTTTAGCCAACTTGTCACCGACACATTTTTAGTGTACTTAATTACATGAAATACTTTTAGCTTAATACGGATCTTAAACTCTTATAATACTTACCCAACTTTGCGTGCTTTTGGATGCGTGGTAAGCAGCAAGCTGTGCTTGTTGAGCGTCACCTCTTGGGCTTCATCGGCAACGTTGAACAGAAGCATGTACTTGGCATCGTCGCGTTCCCTTACAATCTTGACTACATTATCGGATTCACCCTTTACCTCTAAAACGTCCTTCGAGGACATGGACTGAAGATGATCCTTCCTAAATTGCAACAGCTGCTTGTAGATGCTCAAGTGGGAAGTTTCCGTTCCATTTTCATTCTGTGAAAGAAAATACAATGCGATATTGTTACTGAATTATTAATTACGCACAATAGTCGCGCTCGTACCGCGCGACTTCCGTACGCTAGAGGAATAGCCGCCTGGCGCATATGGCGTTATTAAGAATTAAATAACAATGTCCTGAAATAAACTGAGCCTAAAATAATGGTGGGAGTTTTATAAGGAAAAGTTTGACCTTTGACTGGGATTAAAATGGACACTTAGGCGCGATTTAACTAAGTCGGGGCGTAAAAAAGCGTGTGGGTCACACATTCAACCAATTAAAAACTTAAATAAAATAAACTTTGAAGTAATGGATCTAATGAATATGCTCGATTTCGTGTGAGATGTCAATCAAACTAGAGAATAATTATACGGTTTGTGTAAAATGGACCCCGAATTCCCATATTAAATAAAGAAATACGTCATGAATCACTTGGTTTAGCTACATAGGCCTATTTTTTTATTTACGTCCGGACATCGAAGAAAAACATGCATTTGCTTTATATTGGAAGCATAGACTCAAATCGGATATAATATCTAGGTTGATATGACACAACAATTAAATGGGCATTTTATTGAAAATAACTGTCTCACTGTTGCTGTTCATACATAAAATTACGGATTCTTTTTATATACTAACTTGAGCCACCACGAAGGACAAGTAAATTGATGTTTTACTCAATGTTTGTAAAAGAATAAGCATTCTGTAATTTTATTTATGTCTTCGAAGAATTTATTAAGCAGAATTTTGAGACACTTTATTTTTGAAAAAATGTTCAGTATTGGCGTCATGTCAATTTATTGTAACAGGTTTGATGTTTCGAGTTGGACACAAATCCTTATTTTTAACTGGAGGAGTCTGCGTCAAATTTTGTGTACGGACACGAATGAGAATTTTTTTTAGCTAAATCATGTGACATGCTATGATAATTAGGATCCAACTTACACAAATCTTATATTTTTTCTCTAGTTTGAGAGACATTTTACAAGAAATTCGGGCCTTAGTTTTTCAGACTCATGACTCGAAAACGGTAAACTTCTAGTTGCTTCTTTCCCATTTAAGATCTTACCTCGACGTTGACCCGTCTGTAATTGCTAGCCACAGGCAGCCATGGCTTCTTGTCACCATCAGTGAAACCTGCGTTGGGGCCACTATTCCACTGCATGGGAGTCCGTTCGAAGTCCCTGGATGTTTCCCTATACGTGGAGCAGTCCTTTATGGCCTGCGGGTCCTTACCTTGTTCGCAGGTCACCTCACCGTCAGTCATACCGATCTCTTCTCCGTTGTACGTGACCATGATACCAGGTAAGAAAGCTGTCAACATGTTGAATGCATCCACGTTTTTTTCGCCTAATCTTGTAGCTACTCGGTGGTTGTCGTGGTTTCCTAACTGTATGGTACAGAAGATAAGTGAAAATACTTAGAATTAGTCATATTCGCATTCAGTTCACCAAATTACCTAAGCGCTCCCAACAATGGAAGACCAAAGTGGACACGTTGTCTTACAAAATTCTATATTTTATTAATTTCTATGAAAAAACTCAAAAAAGCCATTTCATATCAATTAAGTCACATCTTGCTTAGTACAAAGTCAAACCGTTATAAGTTACTAGGAATTTTTGTCTATAAATTCTGAGAAAAAAACAAAATCATAAATAATAATAATAATTAGAACCCCTTTCTTATGAGCTACACAGTTTAACTCTAGTTTCTTTCGACTGCGGTTATTTGACCGTACTCTCGAAAGCATTTTCTGATCAATTTTAATCCATTTACATTTTTTTATATCCAGCTACGACGAAGGCCTAAGGCCTAAACACCCATGGGGTACCGTGGGGCTATAGGGGAATACATACAGGGGAAAAGGGGGAGACGCCACACGGACTCTAGCGAGGCAACACGTGTGCATGCAGCATGCCTACGAGATCTGCCGGGTGGTACCTCCGAGTACGACAGAGAGAGACCGTCTACCACCAACGGACAATCACAACATCCATAGCCAAGAGAAAATTTTCTCTTGGGACGGGATTCGAACCCTTGATTAGGAGACGATGCGTCTACCACTGCGGCCACCGCTGCTGCCTGATAAAATTGGCCTAAGGGGCGAATTAGGTACTTTCCTACAGTCAAAAATACTCTCCGTTATACTTGCATATACTAGTATTACCGGTATCTTTAACAAATTGCAGAAAATTGAAATTTAAGCGAGTTAAAACATTTTCTGATGTGGTGGGTGCTGCAGTCGTACAATACAGGGTGATCCAAAAATAAAATATTGCGTTACACTTTAGATTCTTAAATAGAAACCCCCATTTTTTAATTTTAAGGTTATCCATAAGTTTTTAGTAACTTTTATATAATAAAGCTTATACCTATCTTCAATCGTTGTGAAGCTATTTGAGTTTATAATAAGTCAGTGTCATCGTATTTCATAGAAAAACTTTGTCTTTCACTTCAATTTGATAAGTTAAATATTGAATAATGACTTATTAAATTCAAGAAAGGGTAGAAATAACAAAACTGTATCAGCAAAATGGCAGAGCTTCTGCCCGGTTGTTTAATGCGTTACAACAATATTAACGATAAGTATGTGGTTAAGTTCATAAGGAAATTTGAAGAAACTGGTCTGTGTCTAATATTCGCCGTAATCGCTAGCGAGAAAGTCGACCAGTTAGAAATGAAGTCGCAGAAATAGCAGTTTTAGGACACGTAGCACTTGGCAACACCCAAAACACTCGTGGCTGGCTACTTCTTCAGGATTTACACGTTCAACAGTACAAATAATTTTGAAAGACAAAAAATTTCAGCCGTACAAGATAAAACTTGCCCATAAGCTTAATGACGACGATTTTGATAGAAGGTTGGAATTTTGCGAATTAATTTCCCACTGGCATCATTTCCACCAACTAGGTTCTTTCTATATCACATGAAGCACATATATTATTATGATCGTTTACCTAAATACCTTACCCACTTATTTCAAATCATCAAGATGAGATTCGTAGCAGTACAATGATGATATTTCCGAAAGAACCAAATTATCGTCCTTATTCATTACTCTGCACCACCCCTTTCTAATTCTATTCTACATATGTTAAAGCAAGTAAAACTTACCACCCAGTTTGCAGTGTATATCGATGGCATATGCTTCAACCAAGAGTTGATCGCGTTGATAACATCCGTAACTTTGAAGTCCTTGTCCGTGAGTTTACCGAGCAGTTCGAAATTGAAGGTGAAGTGTGCTCCCAGCTTGTCGCCTGTAGCGGTGCCGTAGTACCGCATCGTACTATCTATGTCCGTGTACGCTTCAGACATCAACACTCTACAAAAAAAATTAGTCGACTAGTAAAGTACATACAACGTATGCCACAAGCATTTTGTTTTCGGTTATCACTCCATCGCCGCTGGACGGATGATTAAAAGTTAAATATGACACATGCCTGATTCCAAGAAACGTGTTGTCCCTAAAAATGTTTTGACTAGTTGGCCAGACAGTTAAAAATGCCGATAAAGGTTCTTTCAATTCTTTTTTCAATCTTGACCCCTCAAAAACCACCTACGCCTAAAAATGATCAGAGAATCAAAAAACAACGTTTGGATCTTCTGACTCTTTGTTTTTTCGCTCATAACTCCGCCGCCATTGGAGCGACTTTCTTAAGTACAAAGTTGAGTCAGCTAAAACAAATGTTTACCCTATTTTGCTCCACCCAAAAAATCATCAGGAACTTTAAAAACCTCGAAATAAAGTTTGCGAATGAAAAACAAATTTTTCCGCGATCGCAATATGATAGAAGTAGATAAAAATCACCAAAAAAACTCATCAATGTAAATTCTACTTGCAAGTGAATTCATAATTCTTATTTTAGGCATACAACATACATAACCAATGACAGCTTATTTATTCTTTGTAGGGTTTTACAAATTCCCCATCCTTCTTATGATACCCTCTTTAAACCCAAAGACCTTTCACAGTCATCGGCTTACTAAAGGATGGTCTATGTAAAAGATTTTGAACTTCGGTAGTTGAAGATCTAGGAGAGAACTTTGGACTTTGACTAACCTAACTTGTTATCTTGTTTGAATGTAAAAAGTCGATGTCTAAATGATGCACATTTCTTAATACATGAGCAGACTACAGTTACACGTATTAAGCTCCAAGAAGGAAACTCACTTAGTAGACTGATTGTGAGCTTTGGCCCATTTGTCGACATAATCTCTGATTTCATAGATGACATTATAGGTGTCATTAGTGTCTTTGGTGTAAATCCGCTTCAGACAGTCAGCGTTATTTTGGTCGTATTCTTGACCTTCAGCTAGGGGTTCATCTGTTAAATCAGCATCTTCTACAAGGTAGGGTACTGCATCCACACGAAACCCGTCCACACCAGTGCCTAGCCAGTAATCCAGTATGTCCTGTAAATGCGTAAATGATAGATAAAACCTTCAAGTAGCAGACTATGAAAAGCGTGTACACTAACCATGCTAAGCCACAAAACACCAATATAAATCGTGCTGTTTCTGCCGTTAAGTGCTCGTATGCACCGAGGCCTATGAGCTGTACAAGCTGTTAGCTAGCCACGACATAAACATGGGCTTAGACCGTTAGACAATGGTCATGTTTACATAATGACTACCTAAAAGCCACAAAGAATCAATGAATCGTGTTTCCTGGACTTATGCCGCTCTGTGTCCGTCTACAGCGGAGCTATGCGCTATACAAGCGTTTAGCTAGACAAGTGCTTCACAAGATGTATTCTAGACTGGAAGGTTCATTTGAATTGAGGAGACGGATCAATCGAAAACAATGAAAGACCAAGATCCATCCTGTGAATACCATATTCAGTGTTGATTGATAATATAAACCAGGATTGTTGCGCAATGGCCATGTTTACATAGTGGCTAACTAAGCAAAAGAGGGCAATACAATTGTTTTTGCATGCATTTATCATGTTCTGAGCCCGTTTACACCGGGTGCTTTGCTCTATGCAAGCATTAAGCTAGTGTAGCCGTGTAATCAGAGGTCACTCATATGTTATCAAATTGTAAGACTGGTTATGGAGACAGCTGTGGGCATTCAAATAAGATTATAGGTATAACATAGGTATGCTTGATAGTGGATAATTGGATGGAAACATAGAGCGATGATTTTTGTCTGCGAGCTATGCAAACCAAATATTATAACTCATTCTAAAACTAGTGATATGCTAAGCAAGCTAACCTTGTAAATTGAGAAACTTACAAGCCTTTATGAAAGCTCTCTTGCTCGAATGAATCAATCAACTACGCAGTGGAAGTAGATATGACAAAATATGTTGATGCTCAGATTGAGAATTTGCAGAAAAACCTTCAACAAAATAAATAAGGTAATCGATTCAGAACCTAATGTGTCAGCTTCGGATATAACTAATAAAGCTACTGTGCCGCAAAAACAACAAGTACAAAGTAGACCTCCGCAGCAAAAACAACAGACTAAACAACCTGTACAGTCGAATATGTTTGTAGAGCAGAGAAACCTTGCTAAGTACTATGTGGAACTTAATCGAGATGAAGATAGAAAACAACCTAGTCAAAACAAGGGTAATGACATGATGTGTGTAATCTAGATGTGGTCTCAATTTTTAGTAATGTCTATTTGAAAGCTTGCATTAGATCCATAAATAAACATTGGGATCAGATATGCCAACACCGCAATCTAACTCTGGATTCCCTCATTAATATTTTATTAATAACAAAGTCTTCTCACAAACACATGGCTGCCCAATAGGCTCAGTGTTATCTCCGATTTTGGCAGAATACGTGATGGATGATTTACTTGATTCTGTTATCCAAGTATTGCCCTTTAACCTAATCTTCCTAAAAGAATATGTGGACGATATTATTGTTTGCCTTCCTTCTGAGGGAGTGAATGGTATTGTTGAAGATTTCAACAGCTATGACCTTTACATTCAGTTTACCATCGAAAAAAGAAGATAAAAATCAATGATGTTCCTTTTTTGTACTCAAGATTGATTCGCACTAACGACAATATGCTACTGATAGACTGGTACAGGAAACCAGTTTCATCTGGAAGGTTCCTGAGGTCTTGCCATGAACCTAAAATAAAGATAAATTTGGTGAAGTAAATGAAAAATAGGGTAATTAAAATCTCCGATAGTACTTCCCATCTGTCTAATTTAAGGAAGCTTTCAACTTTATTCATCAATAATGGTTATCCGAAGCTTTTGATTAACAAAATCCTGTTAAAATCTCCTTCTAAAATTTTGCCAATTCCTAATAATAAAAATGGCAATGACAACCCCTCCATTTCTAGCCCCACCCCCAATAATTATTTAACTAATAATAATGATAATATTACGGATGATGCTTCTCATCCCAGAGTTAGCTATGTTTTATTGTCATACATCAAAGAATTAACTCCCAAACTGATCAAGCTGTATAACCCATTAAATTGTCGTTTTGCTTGTAAGTCAATACTCTCAGTTACAGTGTGTTTTCCAAAATGAAATATAGGGTTCCGTTGTTTGACTTAACCAACACTGTCTATTGGATTAATTGCAACAACTGTAATTTAGTTTACATAGGCCAACCATCTAGATCATGAAAAGGCAGGTTAACTTCACACAAAAGTGACGCCAGATTACACCCAGAACGATGTGCTTTGGCATCACGTGTGAGCACTACAGGTCTATTCTATGATTTATGGCAATATTAGGGTTCTTGGCAAAGAAGAACACCTTTCGAAACGTCTATTTTTAGAAATGTCCCACTTTTCATGATAGATCACTGTATGAATAAAAATGCTGATGTTAACCAACTTAGTAACATTTATTCTTTCTTGTGGAACTGCGAAAAATTCCAACATCTTCCCAATAATAGAGCAGAAATTTCCAATATATATTCCGTAAAATAAAAGTTTTTTTTAAGTTTTCGAAATAAAAATAAATAATGAACATTTTTCAGACAACACATTTTTTCTGGTGTGTCATTGTCATCATACGGTTCATAGAAAGTAGACTTATAGAATTTTTTTCGAACGCCCCTCTTATGCACTATTCCTGAGAATTTTGAGTCACATTTCCGCGTCATTCACCTTCACCACGTGCAGCAAGTATACGGTGATAAAATAAATTTTCTGTCCCCAAAATGTAGTGTTAGTTTTCAATAACTTGAGTATTTTTTTCCATTTTTTAATTTGTTTGGCTTCATTGATAAATGGTTGTAACACATAGCTATGTGTTCTGTCGTTAACAACAAACCCAAGTGTCCGGTCTTTTGGTTTTATGATAAATTGTAACAGCCTGGCACAAAAAAGATGTGCAGGATTCGACAGGATAGAACTCAGATTCGGGGTATCGCCGGCACGCCGACGCCGGCAGCTGCTGTTCGTATTCGGTTTATACGGATACAGCAGATGAAACTGAGAATATTTCTTCCAATGCTTCCTTCAGCCATGATTCCTCTTCACTGATCTCTCCTCCCCCAAAACGTGACAAGAAGGGACAACTGAATATTCAGGCAAAAGAAATTGTCCTTAACGTTTATGAGTGCGAAATTTTAGAGCATCCTGAAATGAAAATTCATGATATTGGAAGATGTGGCGAGCAAAACAGGCGTATGTCCTAAGACAATGTTCAACATTGTTAAAGAATATAAAAAAACAAAAAATTGTCTCTACCACACAAGAGGCTGCATTACACGAAGCTATTGAATACAGTTGATAACTTTGAAAGGAATGCCATAAGACGCAAAAGTACATCAATTTTTTGAAAAGCAATAAAGAAATACTGCGACCAGGGCACGAAGATTTATTACTTGGAAGAAACCTGGATAAATGCAGGTCATGCAAAACCTAAAGTATGGGCTGACGCTACAATTAAATCAGAACGACTAAGCACTGACCTAGAGAATCCGTCAGGAAAGTGTATCTAACCAATTCGTCATTTGTGTTGTAAAAATGGTGACAAGTATACTGAATCTATGAGCCCACGCCCACTTAGCTACACTAAACTCAGCTATATCTGATGGATTTGGAACCAACACCTGTTGAATACTCTGCTTGTATTATTATTAGTTTTCTTGAATATTATATGAAATAATTATTTCCAGGAAAAGAAAAACGATTTGTTATCTGTTACATTGGGAGTGAATATGGCTTTGTGTCCACTGCCCTATGGGCATTTGAGTCAAGGAAAACGACCGACTACCATGAAGAAATTGACGGGAGTTCATTTGAACGATGGTTTAAAGGAACGCTCCCAAAGCTTGTCGACAGTCCCGTCATTGTACTTGATAATGCTGCATTCCACACTAGAAAACCAGAAAAAAATCCCCACAATGTCCAAAAGAAAGGCAAAAATTCAACAATGACTAATATCAAAAGACAATACAGTTTCAATGAAAATATGGGCAAAGCAGAATTCATCCATCTACACCCTATTTCACGAGTATCCGTCAAGCTTTGATGTCTACTGAGGTGAACAGCTGATCAGCAAGTGAAATGTTTGTGTTAGTCTGCGACGTTGGAAATAATGAATCGGGTGTAAATCTAGTAAAACTTGTTTGTAGTGTTTTGCTTTTTGTATGCAAATGAACGCCTTTGCTAAATAAAAGAGCTGTTAGCAAGTACAAAATGAATCTGTAGCGCACAAAAAACAAAACAAACTACGGCTCTGACTACCTGACGTAGACGGATCCGTCAGAATTATGTGTCCTCTGTGCCGATATGGGGAAAGTTGAGATATTACTAGATAATGAGCTGTCATTCTACCTTGATGGATACTCGTGAAATAGGGTATAGTTAGGCAGCACACATATAAATATAATCTTAATGTTATTGATGGAATGGTTAGAAACCAAAATAAGACAGTTTTAAGGCTACCCCCCTATCACTGCAAATTAAATCCCATTGAAATGATTTGGGCAAATATAAAAAACTATGTGGCTTCAAATAATAGAACATTCAAATTTTCTGACGTGAAAAATTTGTTTTATGAAGCTGCCAACAGAGTGACGGCAACCATGAGAGAGATTGCATTCGTCACGTTCAAGAGACAATCGAAACAAAGATGTGGGATCTGGACAATATCTATGATCGATATTCAAATTGAATATGTAATAATTAATATTAACCATTCAGACGATGATTCAAGTACTTCCAGCGAATAAAGAATTGTGAAAAGTATGTTCACCTCTTTCTATAAAAATAATCAAATGGACTACAAATGGCGTATAGAGCAAATTAGTATACAAGACTTCAAGTTGGTGACGAACTTCTGCCGGGAAGAAGTTCATGATGGTGATGCAGCAGTGCTAGACAAAATATAGTGTCCCAAACAAGGAAAAATCTGAGTTGTCAGTGATTGGTGTATTGAGTGCGCAGTAAGGGAACGTAAAATTGGTAACAGGTCAGTTGTAAATTTTTCATAAAACTCGAGGACCTTCTAACACATATTGACCAGAGTAAATCACTTTCAATAACAGGTGATTTTAATGTTGAAATGGAGGATCATCCCTTTTACAAATTTAGAAGATTGTATTGGCGATATAATAGAAAGTCACATATCAAAAATCCGAATACCGTGTGAGCTGTTATTTACAGAAAATTCAAAAGATCAATTTGTGGAGGTGTTGAAGCAACAGGATTGGCAAGATATCATAGAAGTTCCTTAGCAAGACGTTAATGAACTGTGAAAATTATCATGTATACATCATTTGTATAAATTACTCTCAAATATAGTATAGTTTATACGTATGAAAACTCAGTAATAATGTTGTATAGAAAGATTTTATAATGCGGCCCTCCAAACTGCATTTTTTTTGAAGTGGCCCTTGGGCCACATTAAGTTGGACAGCCCTGATGTATAACAAGCTTCATCAATATTTTCAACATGTGCTTCGCTAAAAAATGCACAAACACAAACCAGCTGCGTAAAAAACAGTACGGGATAAACAAAAAAATACAATAGTACAAAAACAGGTTAGACAAGTTACAGACACTGCATAAAAAATAATATTATAATTTATTAATTGAACAAAGGAAAAAGATATCTATGGAAAATAAAATTTACTTTTCGGACAACAAATAAAAAACTGTGTGCGCTATATGTAATGAACCAAAAACAAGAAATACTAAATAACATTAACATAATTAGTAACAAAAAAATATAAAACTTCCAAAGAAACTTTTCCCCATATTCCTTGTGTGGTCTAGATATATGCAATTAAGTAGTCTTATTTTCCTATAGAAATTAACCAACATACGACAAAAATTCAAAATACAAGGAAGTTGTATTTCTATTTGCTTAATGCAAAGAACATAATAAAAATGCACAAAAGTCAGTGGCGTTCATTTTTTGTCATAAATATTCGTTCAGGTCCCGCTCGAGACATCACTGGACTTGATAAATTTAATCAAGTTAGGGCTAAATTAGCGCCTTAATATTATAAATACCACCGCCAAATTACAACAAAATTAGTTAAAGGATATTTAAGATATTTACGAAAAAACGTTTGTTTTTTAAAATTTATCTTGAGAAGGAATAATTTGCGGACCTATGTTGATATGAACTTTTTACCTTTAAAATATTCAAAGAATCTTCTATAAAATGTATGGTATATGTTACTTAATTAGTACCATGTATGGTGGAGGTACTGAACATGATGCAAGATATCCTCCCTTAACTTAATTTGCCTCTATAGAGGTTTTTACACACCCTGCCTAGATGATAGATAGATATTAAATGAGCTCTTATTGGATGTACGAATTTCAAATAAATCCTTTTCGAAACGAAAATAAACTGCATCATCTCTTAAGAACCGAATGTAATAAAACTGCAATATTGTCTAGGTAGAAAATACCTCATTCCTACTATGTATTTTATGAGATCCCACCTAAATACAATACGAATTTGAAGTGTACTTACCATCATTTCTTTCACAACATTCGGATTTCTATAATTTAAGTCTGGTTGTTGTTCAGAGAACTGGTGAAGGTAGTACTGCTGTCTTTGGTCGTTCCACTTCCAAGCGGAACCTTTGAATGTGGAAATCTAGGAAAAAATGCCATACCGGCCTCACATGAACATTGTGTACACTGAGAAAAAAGTTTAATAAAACCAATTAAATTTTCAAGTAACTCAGCTAAAAAATTTGATTACCCATGTGACAGCTGACAGCTTTAGTTCAAGTAAATTCCCATTTCTAAAAACAATTTATCTGAATATCTTAGACCAGTTCAATTCAAGCAAAGGGAGAGAGTGAGAAACTGAGTGCACCAATTTATTTGAAATTAAGTAACTAACAAAATAAGTGGCTGAACTATACTTTAGCGCATGTCGAAAATATTACATTTTTTATTTAAGGATGTAACTTGCACGAAAATATCATTTTTTCTTCAAGGAACCCTCTGCTTGCTATTTTATAGAACTTCAAAGTTGCATTTTGGGTGGTAATACTGTGGTATAGAACACTGCTATATAAGATGTTTTTTCTTGTTTACACAAAAGATTGCTCAAAATTATATGAATATAACATACAATGTAAATTCCTGTGGCACTGTTCATCGCAATAATGCAATTTTGCATTATTTTGATGATGAAAATAATTCATTGTTAAGTAGTAATTTCTTTTATTTCAGATAAATATTCCCATCACTACACCACCATCCACCACAATCACTATCCTACCCTCTCCATCTACTTACTATGTTGCCAAATCATGGATAGTAATATACCCTGATTTGGTTTCTCAAATTCTTACTTATATACTAGCGCAAAAATGTGCAATCGGCACAGGATTATCATGAAAATGTTATTTGGAGGTGTGGCCGACAGGTTTTACTGTACTAAATCCACCTCGTGCCCTACGATAGCGTGCTATGCCCTTCACAAAAGTACTTCGGTTATTGTTTTTTTGTATATTATAGTTATAATAATAATAATAATAATATTTATTCGCCAAAATACAAAAAATGTTCAAATAAATATGAAAAAACCATAGAAGGCATCGCCTGTGTGTGGTTTATATCTTAATAACTAACAATCAATCATATATGTGTATAACAATTATTGTTAAATCTAAAAAGTATTAATGTAATTGGGATTTTGTAGTTTTAGATTTCTATATAATTATTAATAGTCATTCGCTGAACAGTACAAACCCAGTCATTCAATTTTCGTCTAAATTTTTTTTCCAAAATTAAGTATTTTTATTTCGTTTGGTACTACATTATATAATTTAGCTGCTAAGAATTTAAATGATTTTTTGAATAATGTTTTGTGTGGTCTTTGGATATTAGATGAGCCTATTCGAAATCGTGACTTATGCTCGTGTTTATAGCATTTTTTTTTTCATTACAATACTTATGGTATAAGGTGGTGGCATATAAGAAATAAAGTTGTCTTGTATCAAGTATCCCTGTTTCCTGATATAAGTTGTTCGTCGGATATAATCTTGGCTTATGGAAAATGGCTTTCAAAACAGTTTTTTGTGCTATATTCAGGTCAGAAATATATGTCTTGCAGGCGGCACCCCAGGCTGTGATGCCGTATATTATATGGGTTTCAACTATGGCATGGTACAGGATTCGCAGATATCTTTCTGTAAGAATGTTAGTAAGCATTTTGAGTTTATAGGCAACATTTCTAATTTTTTTGATAACATATTTAATATGGTTATCCC